ACATCGATTGATTGGGTCATTATAAATTCCTTTAATTTTCTTTTCATCAGGAACTGTCCTAATTTCACTATCATATTTAAGGGACAGCTTTGCTAGATACATGATTCTTGGTGGCAATATTTTTCTTTCAGAGTTTTGTATATGCCAATGCATTATCTTCTTTCCTGCATGGTTTCTGCTGAGAATTGAGAGCTTAGTCTTATTGAGTCTCCTTCATAGGTAACTTTTTATTTTTTCTGAGCTGCTCTCAGGATTCTTTCTTTGACTTTGGTTTTATATATCGTTGTGATTTTCTTTTGGGATCTATCTTGTTTGGGGTTTGTTCAGTGTCTTGTATGCTTATCTTCTCATCTTTCATGATGTTAGGGAAGTTTTCTGCCAACAACTCTTTGACAATTTTCTTTGTGCTTTTTATTATCTCTTCCTGTTCTGGAATGCGTATCATCCACAAGTTATTCTTCTTGATGGTGTCTCACATAACTCTTAGGCCTTCTTCAGATTTTTTCATTCTTTTTTTTTTTTTTTTACTGTTCTTCTAGCATACTAGTATTGAGAGATCTATCTCAAACTTCTAAATTAGGATTACATTGATACAAATGTCTTTTGGCCTTTCAGTTGTCCATTTCTGAAGTCTTAGGATTAATCTTCATTTCTAATTGCAAAGGTTTGTATTGTTTCAAGATTTGCATTTATTTTATCTGTCTGTTTTTATAGTGTTTTCCCTAATTAAAGTTTTTTTCTATGTTCTTCTTGGTTTCCTCAACCTTTCTGTCAATCCTTTGCATGTATCTAAATATCACTCTTTTGAATTGTTTTTCAGTTATTTCCATTACCTTTTTCTTCCTCAGAAACATATTTTGGCTCTGCATCTTAGTCACATTTTATTTTTTTGAGCCATTCTCTCTTGTTTCTTTGTCAGCTAAAATTGTCTGTTGTCTCTGGGCTTTCTGGGTTTGTCGTATTTGTATTTAATTAATAATTGCATGTTGAGGTGTTCTTAGGCTCTCACCAGCTGCCTCTTGTGGGTGTATTTAGGGAATAAATATGTGTACAGCATTCTTGTTCATCGTTTGTGCACCTCTGTTTAGGGTGAGTTTGGCTGACTTTGGCTACAGTCTATCATTGATCAAGTAGTATAGAAACTTGTATTGGATCTTGCCCATTGGGTGGAGCTACAGAGAGTATGGTTGTGACTGGGCTTTGGAGCACAGTTGCTGTCTCATTTCAGGTGGGAAAGACAAAACCCCTCATACACAGAAGAAAATAAAACAGAATATGCAAACAAGGAACAAAACAAAAAAATTAAAAGAAAATAATAAAGAGAAAAATGAAATAAAAACAGGCAGGAAGCAGAAAAAAGTAATATAATAGCTATAAATACAAAAGTGGAACAGGGAAATGAAGCTACAGAAAGAAAAATAAGACATAAAATAAAAGGAAGAAATAAAAAAAAAAAGCAAACAACACTTCAGAAAACCTGGAAGAAGGAAGATGAAAAGAGAAACAGAGTAGAAAGTAGTAAAGAAAGATCAAAAGGGAAATAAAAAGAAAAGGGCAAATGAGAAACAGAAGAAAAGGAGGAAAGGCAAAAGTAGTTCTTGAAAGGATAAAATTCAATGGAATGGAAAGAGAAGAAGAGGGAAAAGAAAGAATAAACAAAATGAATGAAACAACAAAAGGAAAAAATCAAACACAAAACAAAAATGCTTCAGCTAAAGGAGCTCTGGTAGCATAGTGGTTAGGAATCGGGCTGCGAACCGGAAGGTCAGCAGTTCGAAACTACCAGCTGCTCCACGGGAGAAAGATGAGGCGATCTGCTCCTGTAAAGATGTACAGCCTCGGAAACCCTATTCAGGGTCACTATGGGTCGAAATCGACTCGACGGCACTTAACAACAACAACAACATTGGACCCTAGGAGGAAAAAACTCTGGGGGACTTTTCAAGCCAAAGAGCTCATGAAGCGGGTGTGGGAGGGATGTGATGTCAGAGTTCCCTGCCCTGGATGGAGTTCCTATCGACTTTGGTGTTATTTATGTTCAGGGCACTCAATTCAGAAGTTGTTCATGGAGGCTCACAGGGCAGTTGCGTGCAAAGTAACTGTTTAATACTGGTCTGGTGGTTCGGCTCATTTTGCAAGTCTGATTGGAACCCTCCTGAATCCAGACATCAAAGGGGCACACAAATCAATGCAGTTGGCCCCCACCTCACACTGGTCTAACTCCAGACTTCCAGAGAGCAGGGTTTGCACTAGGGGTGACTGAAGGTAGGAGCTGGCCACACCTCAGGTCACCAGGGGAATATGGGGAAAAGGAAGGCATCTCACTTTTCCCATTTCTTGTGTAAATCTGTACTGCCAGACCTCCTTCTGTTGTCAAAACTACTCACAAGATGGTTGCACAAGTCAATCTTCCTCTCTGGATGTTTCTGTTAAGCTTCTCCTACCAGCAAGCACTTTGTCCATTTTTGTAACCTTTCCTCTAATGCTAACGGTCCCAGGATTTTCATCTGTGACTGTTTCATTTGGTCTCACGTATCTTCATTGTACGTAGTCCATGTAGTGCATCTGCCTAGTCTGCCATCTTGCCGGAAGCGTAGGTAGGTCAATATACTTCTGAAGGCAGTGTTTTCATCTCTCCAACCCTTCCCTGAGAAATACTGTGTTTTTTTTAATTTACACAGTTATAGCATTCTTGAAGGCTTCAAATTACGATCCTTTTGAGTGTTCTTTGATTTGGGGAAACAAAAAGAAGTCTGAAAGGAGAAAAATAGTGCTGTAGGGTGGATGGGGTAAGGTTTCTCAGTGAAATTCTTGTAGGACTTCCTTTGCTGCCCTTGAAGGAGAAGAGGTGCATTGTCATGATGAGAAAATAAACCTAGGCACAACTTTCCTGGCCTTTTTCTCACCAAAAACTTTCTTCATAGTAAGCTTCTATGATTGTCCAGTGACTTTTAAGAAAGTCTATTAAGATTACCTCTTAGTCACCATAACCTTCTGAGTTGAGCTCTCAGCCTTGAAGTTAACTGGTCCAGCAGATCCCCTCAGAAGTTCCTGTGGACCCTTTTTAATTGGACCTATGTTTTGAAGCCACCCTTCAGCACTGGACTACGAAAACACAAGGTCCTTGGAAACCCTATACAGGGTTGCTATGAGTCAGAACCGACTCAACAGTACTTAGCAACAGCAACAGTAAGACCCAGACAAGTGTATTACTTAAGGAACCTGTCTGCAAGTCACCCATTGGTCACAGAGACATGTTTAAAGAGGGTATGTAGAAACTGTAGAGCGTGCATGTAGAAATTGGAAACCATATAGCAATATTTTTGTACTTAACCCTTGTAAAGGTTTCTATGATTTTTTAGCAATACTTCTTGATTTACCTTCATATATGTTGCTGCCCGTATAATAAATAAATTAATGTTTTTTAATTAATTGACCCCTTATTTGTTTTTTTAGAATTATATCACTAACATTCTTCTGCCTGCTGTTGTTACGTTTTCTCTTGGAACTCTTGGACTTTCTGTAAAGTGGAATTATTTCTATCCACCTAAGAATGTTCTTTTGAGAATTGAATGAGATTGTGTTTATTAAATTATCTACCACAAATTTAGAAGTGCTATTTAGTTGTAGAAGAGTTAACACATACATGGTATGCTTAGTAATAATATACTTTTTGAGTGGATGCAAAATATCTGTTTATTTTTCATTGCAAATATTGCTTTTTACTTTTGTATATTATACGTGCTTTTAGTAGCTGTCTGCTTATCTTATCTCTCTTTAGGTCGGCAATTTCTTAGCCCTACATTCAGTTCTATCTAGAAAGAGGATGATTCTGGAAATAAGGAAATTCTTCCTTTGTACATGCTGGTCTTGTTAGTTTAATTTCCCCATTTCCTTGAGTATAGTATGTTTGCCTGTGCATAGAAGTGTATTCGGTATTTGTTGGTCCATAACTACCCAAATATCAGTAGGTTCTCACAACTGTTATTGCCCTTTGGTTTTTATTTTTTTCCTAATTAGGGCTAACTAGGTACTTTTGGCAGTTCTTCCCTGGTCTTGCTTGAGGTCTCTTATGCAGTACTAATGGATAGCAGCTGGGGCTGGAACATCTGACGTGGCTCTAGTCACATGTCAGGTGCTTTCTGGGGACTGAAACTCTCGATCTCACCAGTCTACATCGTGAGTTAAAGCATCTGTGTGTGGTGGCTGGATTCCCAAGAGCACAGAATGAAGGTGCCACGCCTTATTAAGACTTAAACCTAGACCAGGTATAGTCTCATTTCTGTCTTCTATTGGGCCATCCTGGATTCTCCATTGGGAGAAGTGCCCAAGGATATGAATCCTGGGAGACATCTTTGGAGAACTGCTATCCAATAGGTCTTGGTCATTTCCTTATGTCGTATTTCACATTATTTCCGATAGAATGTGTTACCTGTTGTACTTCATTTACCAACTAGAATTAGCTTTCTGTTCTTCATCTTGAAATCTTCTGAGGTAGACTAGCAAATTGTTACTGCAAACATGGAAATTCCAGCATAGAGCAATGAAAAAATAAGATCCTTTAAATTATTAAACTACTGCATCATTTAAGGAGCGCTGGTATCATGTAGTGGGTTACAAGCTGGGCTGCTAACTGAAAGTGCATCAGTTCAGATATACCAATCACTCTGTGAGAAGACGAGGATCTCTGCTCCTGTAAAGATTTACAGCTTCAGAACCCTATACAGGTTTGCTACAAGTCAGAACCTATTCAGTGGCATACAAATACCACCACCACCACCACCACCACTGTATCATATAACTGGTGTTTTAAACAATTCATTTGCTCTGCCATGAGCAAGAGGTTACCACTGGTGGTTTGATATTTCTGTGAATTATAAATTGAAGTTTTATAGGTTTTTTACCCCTAGAGTTAAAATTGTGCTCAGAATTTATGACTATATAGAAGACCCTGAAATGATAAAGTTTTTCAAGTTATTTTTCCCCCTCCCCTTTTGCAGTTCCATTTGAAACAAATACAAAAGCGGAAGCAGTGACGCTCTCAGATGCTGCTCAGAGTGATGACAGAGCTAAAAGATCTGGTTCGGAAGCTAGGTTTTACAGCTCATCTCTAAAGAAGTTACGTTCCAGCACGGTGGAATTTTCAGCAGAGAAAAACGCTACCAGTGCCTCTGTTCCCGATGCACCCATTATCCTGAGCCCTCCACAGACCCATACACCAGATACATACAACCTGGTCTGGAGGTCTGGGAAGAATGGCGGGTTGCCTATCAATGCCTATTTTGTGAAGTATCGAAAGGTAATGTCTTCAGTTTTATCATTTTTCAAGTTTCATACCTCAACACTATTTATATAAACATGCTCATTTGTAGAGTGTAAAAAAATATAACAGGAGTGATCCAAAATGATGAGTTTGTGAGAAATATTCTTGCAATCATGCTGGAGTTCTCAATCTTATAAAAGCGATAAGAATGAAATCTAAATAGTGTAATTACAGAGCCTTGAAATAATGATAGTTAGATAGATTTCAAGACAGAGCAGACTTTTTAAACTTGGGAAGATATTCATATATATGTTATTTTGGTGAAGGGGAAGGCAATATACAATAAGAGGTTGTTGTTAACTGCTGTCTTGTAGGTTTTGCTTCATAGCAACCCTATGTAGGGTTTTCAAGGAGTGGCTGGTAGGTTTGAACCATAAACCTTGTAGTTTAAACCGACCTTGTGGTCCAGTGCTTTATCCTACAATACCACACCAGAACAATAAGGGATAGGGTGGCAAAAAAATCATGGAGGCATGGAAAGACACTGGAAGGAGAGCAAGAGTTAAAGCAATAGTGATACCATTTTGTAATAACAGTGATCTACAAGTGGCCTTCTGGTGGGTGCTGTAAGATCAGCACTGGACTTCAAACCATAAGATTAACAGCTCAAACCCCCTAACTGTTCCTCAGAAACCCTATACAGGGTTGCTACGAGTCAGAACCAACTCAAAGACACTTAACAACA